ATAAGTAAAACTGAGAAAAGGGATTTCAGTTTTAATCTACTTTTGTCACCCTCATCATGAATTGATGCAACCTGACTACCTGGCTAATGGAACAGATGTAAAACATGGCTACAAAATGAATTTTGGTAAGTAAAATGTTAGATTCTACTACAGATTTCTATACAGATGTCAGAGAGACATCTGAAAGGAAAAAAAATGTCATCTATAATAATTTTAAAAGCTGATCTCTACTACAGATTTCTATACATATGTCAGAGAGACATCTGAAAGGAAAAAAAATGTCATCTATAATAATTTTAAAAGCTGATCTGAAAATTAAGTATTATTTAATACCACCTTTAAAATAAAAACTTTCTAGGAGTTAATACCATAAACCATAGTGTTTCAAAAATAAACATACAGCAAAATGTGTGGGTATGTATGCGTGTATGTGTATGTATATGTGTGTATGTGTATGCGTGTATATATATGTGCATATATGTGTATGTGTACATGAATGTACATGCGTAAATGTAAATGTGTGTATATGTAAATGTGTGTATATGTATATGTGTGTATATGTATGTGTGAATGTGTGTGTGTGTGTGTGTGCGCGCGCGCGCACAACTCTTAGGGCTGAAAGATGTGTCACAGCTCTTACTGCCTGTCAGCAAAAGGTTTGTGTGGGCTTGAATAAATAACATCTAAGTATTCTTCCTGCTCTGAAAAAAATGAACTCAAATACAAATAATCATTTCTGTGTGTTCACTTAAGTCTTCTTTCTGGCTACTGGTGACGATGAGTAGAGAACATTTCATTAGCTTTCTGGTAGTGGCTGTTGTTTTCATTAATGATTTGTTTCTTTTTTTCCTTTTTGGCTTGAATGTTCATGTCTTCCTCATCTATAATTCTAGCTTTACTCACATGCTCATCCAAATCTATGGCCATCTACACACATACCAAGGAGCCCTTGCCCATCTGGTAAGCATGGGGATCACCACATATTTAGCAAAGTCAGCAGATTTGCCAAATTCAAAGGAGTCCAGCATCCAAAAACATGCACACAAAAATATTCCACTAGACAGACATTTGAGATCAGCTCATGAAGGATTAAGTAGATGTAACCATATACACCTGCAAAAATGCTTGGGACAAGTAAACATGCTTATTTTTTTGTGATGTAAATAGATAATGTGATATTGACATAGTTATGATTAAAGAAATCCTAGAAGAGCTTGTTAATGGATAATCAACAACTAGGTAAGATAAGTGGTTGTCTACAAAACAGCTGCTGAAGAATATGACCCAGTAAAAAGACTTTGTTATGAATAAAGGCATTCAGAGGAGAAGGAGTCTTATGAGAACCATTTACCAGAGTTGCTCTTACAAAATGACCTCCATGCACACCTAAGTGGCAATGATCCTGGGCCCATGGTTGGCAACAGCCTGAGGACAGGTGTGCCTCAGGCACAGCAGAATGGCAGTGGCCTGAAACTTCAAATTATCAGGAGTGCCATAGTAATGAAGGTTTTGCTATTTCTGAGGATCCAGATACTATGGTAGAAAGAGATGACTAGAACAGGTTCTAAAAGAAAAAAAACAATCTTTCCTCAGACCATAAAAAAAACACCATGATTTACACAATCCAACAATATCATCTACAATGCAGCTAGCAGTAGTATTAACGGCGCTGGGGGCGCTGAGGCTGCAGGTTTGGATCCTATATAGGGATGGCCGGTGCGCTCACTGGCTGAGCACGGTGCGGGCGACACCAAGCCAAGGGTTATCCCCTTACCGGTCACAAAAAAATAAAAAAATAAAAAAAAATAAAAAAGCCAATACCAATACTTTTGATGGCTAAAATAATTTGGGCCGGCTGTTTAGCTCATTTGGTTAGAGCATAGTGTTATAACACTTTCCCCTGACCCTGATCTGTGAGAAGCTAGCCTTCTTCCTGGAATTACGGACAGTAGGCCTACTTTTGAGAGAATTTTTTAAAAATATGTGTCTTAGTGTAGTCATGTTGTCATGACCAAGGCCAAGGTTTTAGATCCCATACCTGTGAGCCACCAAAAAAAAAAACCAACATATATATATAATTTTAAGTATCATGGCTATAATTTTGATCAGCTAATAAAGTTGATATCATTCCATTCAGCAAAAGGCAAAAGGTAATGCTTTTCAAGTAATAAGCTAGATACTAGTTTTTTAATAGTTTGAATTTTATTGAAGCAAAGTATATAATAAGCACCAGTTCTATGCTTACAATATTATCCTCTTAAAATGGGGATAGGATATACGTTCTGGGAGAACGGGGAGGTTTTTTTCTTTTTTTGGTGGCTGGCTGGATGGCCTTGGTAGGAATTTATTACACTTGCTCACTAACATGTCTCCAAGCCTAAAACATTACCTGGCATGTAGCATGTATTTGGCAAAAAATTGTAAATGAATTAACATGATCATTCAAAGCCATTTTTGTGTTTTAAAGTTCTTGAAACCTTAATCAAGTTAAAATGTGTGAGAAAATGTTGTCCTTTCATATTTTCTTAACATTTTATAAGGAATAATGTTAGGCCCTAAAAAAATGGATAAAATAATATGGGATTAAAATCAGAAGGGTTGACTGAAGTAGGCTAATCCATAAACTGCATCAGTAAGATCCCCAAGTCAAAAATCCTGACTGCTCAAATTACATGTGTAAATGGAGAAGAGAAGGGAAAGGAGGAAGGGATTATAGGATGCTGTTAGGGAAGGGAACAAAGTCACAAAGTTGGCAGTGGGAAGATTGCCAGGTATGAGCTTATTCCCACACTGTGTTCTGTTTTGAAGGGCAACTGTCCTCTAGAGAACTGTTAGTTAGAAATGCTCCCAACAGCTGTTTTCTGGAAATCAACAGGTACTAATCAGAAACTTCTCTTCCCATAAATAAGAACATTCCGTCCCATCCCCCATTAATACCACAACCTGACCCCCTTTGAAGAAAAGCCTTGACTATGCTTCCAGTAAGTGCATGGTTCTGTCACTGAACCACTCTGTACACATATGAACAACGTTTCTTCACGAAAGTACCTTTAACTTTTTGTTTGTTTTGTGTTCAGTTTGGTGAGGGGTGTAGACAGGTAGTACAGAGCCAATGAATAAAGTTAGGAGAAAATGCAATTACATCAAGTGGGGGGAAAGAAATTCCCCATTCTACTTCACTTACTATTAAGAGATTTTATTTGCTTGTGTTTGATTTTCACTCTCCATGCCACACCCAGGTGCCCTCCCAAATAGCACGGCTACGAAGAGGTACTAGTGTAACACAAAGATGGAGCAAGGTAAGATATAAGAAGGAACCAGGTTAGTTGATTAAGAAAAGAGAGAGAGAGAGAGAGAGAGAGAGAGGAATAGGGTTACCCTATTCTTTTCAGTTATTCCAATTCCACATTTACTGAGAGACCAGACTGTTTACTTATAGGCTTAACCAGAGGACTTTTCACTCTCCATGCCACACCCAGGTGCCCTCCCAAATAGCACGGCTACGAAGAGGTACTAGTGTAACACAAAGGTGGAGCGAGGTAAGATATAAGGAACCAGGTTAGTTGATTAAGAAAAGAGAGAGAGAGAGAGAGAGAGGAATAGGGTTACCCTATTCTTTTCGGTTATTCCAATTCCACATTTACTGAGAGACCAGACTGTTTACTTATAGGCTTAACCAGAGGAAAATGCCATTACTGTGGGAATAGTTTTAATCAAAAAGCGAGCATTAGACATGGCTAGTGTCTACCTTTGTTCTATATCAATTATAATTCCAACTTGCCAAATTGATATATCTTTGGAACACAGCTCTATAACACATAACCCACCATAGTCCCCAGGTTCTATCTCTACAATATCATAGACCTCTCCGAGAGGAAAAGAGAGAAAGAGTTAAAATTATCTAGTTCTTCCCATAGGAGAAGAGATCTACCTGGCAGTGATTAGTTGCCATGCCATTAAAAAAAAAAAAAAACTACAGCAGGAAAAGAAATTTAAGAAAAAAAAATCTTAAAAAGGAAACTTCGCAAGTCACAGCACAACCTGGGGGATTTTCTTTCAGATAGGAAGTATCAAGACAATCTCAGAATATTTTATGCAACTTATTTTCCTAAAACACAAAGGAGATCAAGGCCACAGGCTGTAATGGGTAAAGAAGAGGATGAAGAGAAACAGGCAAATATAGGCACTTTATTATTGACTATCACACTTTGACCTCGGTCAGAGTTCATTTTCACTGTCTTTCAAAACCCATCATTTCATTCTTTGAATAATAGCACATTTACTGAAGAAGGCTGATAAGAAAGGAGGGTGTGGTTGGCAGCAATGGAACAAATGTGATTAACCCAGATGGATGTGAACCCCTTACTCTCAAATACTCACAAATCCTGGGCTCTGCACAATGAGCCAACCAGACCTTCAATTTTTTCATGAGAAATTCACAGATGAGAATTCTTATATGTCTGGGTTTTAGATGCATGCTCATCACAACCAATATCATACATGAACCACATACCTGAGAAAGGTTAGTAATACTCTGGCTTGAAAATGATAATCCAGCTGTGCTGATATTTGTTAGGAATTATAAATACACCTTTTGAGTTACTTGGGGGAGAAGGCAGACAATGCTTCTACATAAGTGAGTTAGGAACGCACTGCAGTAGCATTCTAGGGCCCATGGAAACCTGTGGCCCAGCGGGAGCAATAACCATGCCCTATGGAGCTGCTCCTGAAGGAATGTCTGTACCAGCCAAGTCAGAAATACTGACGTTGAGCCACTTTTAAATCATCACTGATTAGAGCAGGCTAAAAAACGGCTTGAGTGGCCATCTGGGGGTTTTTTTGTTTTTTTTTTAAAGGAGGTTTGGCAAATATGCTTAATGCCCTAGTCAAAAAGAAAAGCATAGAAACATATACTGAGCTGTTGTTGGCTGAGGGGAGGAAGGCTAGTATCACATGTTGTTTTTAAATTATAGGGTAATTGGACAGACGCATTACGGTTGCTATTTCAATTGCAATCCACCTTGCAGAGAGAAGAGAATTCTCCTACTTACATCAAAGGGTGCTGAACTTGACTGGGCATTCTGATTACACGGTTCCCTGAAGCAGTCACTAAAAGGAAGTAGAAGGCCCATCGCAATGATCCGTGAGCAAAACTTCTCTGCTTCTTCTGGAGGCCCGTTCTCCTGCTGGCTGAACAGCTTCTCCAACAGAGTTCGCCCTGTGGGTGAAGCACAGTCATTAGGAGGATCACCTGGCTCAGAACTCTCCCAGAGGAGAGAGGCTGGTACACACAGCCAGCGAGCAACCCGTTTCCAAGGCTGCTGCTGTGCGCAGAAAGGAGACTCTCAACCTCAGAGGAGACTCTGTAGTCTGAGGCCAGAGGCACCACACAGGAAAGGGCAGATCTGATTTGTTCTCCCATCTCCCCAAATACCTCCTGCCTCAAAAGGGAATGGGCCATTCATCTTCCATCTAAGAAGTCCCCCCCTTTTAGATTTAATTAGTAATCCTCCTTCCTCTTTGTTTACTCTGCTTCCTTCTCTAAGGAAGGAGTTAGTAACCCAGCACGCCACCAGTTGGGCTCAGAAATGTCGGTGACTTAATTTCAGTCTCAGGAGTAACAATGGGGAGGGAATGCAGATACAGGGAGGGCCAAAGGCACCAACCATGAGAAGGGAAGAGATGGCCTGCAAAGAAAGTCACCCTGAAAAGGCAAGTGATAGAAACTCAAAGTTTTCTCAGATGCTCCTCAGAAACATAACTCTAGGGTAGGTCCAAAATTAAGTTTTTTATTATTTCCCTAAAAGAGACAAGAAAAGAGAGGCACAATGAGAAGACACTGGCTGAGAACCCTAGAGGACCTGGGCCCACCTAGCCCAGGGGTCCACACTCCTGGCTGTACCTCAGCATCTCCTGGGGAGAACAGACTTGCTGCAAACAGTGCCCAGCATCAGGATCGCACTGGCCACCAGCTGATTCTCATGTTACCAGAGTCCAGACCCACAGGTCCAGTCCCTAATCTATATCTGACATGACTAGCTCTCCAGAAACCTTCAGAAACTTATGTAGCTCATTTCTACGTTCATAAACTATAGCAGAGGAAACAGAGTCTCTAGCATCTCTTCCAGGCCCCTGCTGTTCTTCACTTCTTGTCCTGCTGTTGCCCCTCTGCTAATAGCAGATTCATTCTTCAAAATTAGATCAAAATACCTTGTCCAGAAAAGTCCTTAATGATCACTTCCACTTTCTTTTGGAACCCTTCATAGTTCCTTTGTGCAATTAATTATCTTAATTAATTTATTAGCTGTGCAATCATGTGCCTAATGTCTACCTCTCTCCCTAAAATGTAAACTCTTTGATGGCCAGCATATAATATGACAAACCTGGCCACCAGCACATAAAAAGCATCAATAAATATTATTAGGATTTCTGAATAAATACATTGTTGTGATTCTGTGACTCATTCATTTACAACACAGTCAGAACTCAAAATGAAATATCTATGTACCATCACACACTTTCTGGAAAGGGCCAAATAGTAAATGTTTTAGGCTTTGTGGGCCACATAAGGTCTCTGTTGCATATTTTTCACTGGAGCCTTGGATTGAGTGTCCCCCCCAAAGCTTGACCCACACTGTGACAGTGTAAAAAGGGTAGGAAGTCCTATTATGGTAATAGGGGCCTTAGAGAACAGATTAATAATGGCAGTCGTGGGTATGGTTCTGAGGGCTTTAAAAGGAGAGCACATGAGAAGTTCCATCTCTCTGCTCTGCCATTTTCTACCACGTGAGACCCCTATGTTGCTGTAAAGCCACCGCCAAAGAAGGCCCTCACCATATGTGTTCCCTGGACTCTGGACTCCCCAGCCTCCAATGTAAGCAATGAATTTTGTTTTCTTATAAATTACCCAGTTCCAGGTATTTTGTTATAAGCAACAGAAATGGACTCATACAATTGATTTGGTTTTATTTTGAACAACTTTGAAAATGTAAAAATAATTCTTAACTTGGGTTGTGCAAAACCAGGCTAGGTCTATACTTCAGCTATAACAACTAAATTTCAAACACATAAATAGCTAATTCTATCAGGACACTAGTCATGCAATTTTCATGCCTCTTCCTATTTCTGTCTGTAAAAAAAAAAAAAAGTCCCCAAATCTGCCTTTGATATTCAGAGTGACAAAGCAGGACAAAAGAGGCCTCTCTATTTTCTCCATTCCTTCAGGCTATTCGAGAACATTATTTGGTCTTCTAGGACATTTTTATGAGGGGAAATAAAGGATTTTTTACTCCTACAGAGCTTAAAATTGTCTAAATACCAGGAAATACCTAAATTTCCTTAACACCTAGGAAACCACATCCCTCTATTCTCAAGTCATTAATTTTCATAACAGTATAGCCATTGCATTCCTCTTATAGAGTGGGTAAAACCAGCCCTAAAATTAGTTAGTTCTTTCCTACGCCTCAGATACTAAGCAAAACAAAAAATAAGGGAAACAGGATCATGCATGTGTGTGTGAGCATGTGGCAGAAATGTGTATGTGCATATCAAGCCAAAAATTATCAGAGGGGTTATGGAACAATGAGGAAAATAGGGAAGTATGACCTGCTGGAACTCCAGGTCTGTAATGAACAAATACCCCTAAATCCCTACCCCAAGGTTTCTCTACCACAATCCTACCTTGGGGCTGGATAATTCTGTAGTGGGGGGACAGGAAAGGTTGTCCTGTGCATTTAGCAGCATCCCTGGCCACTTCCAGTACATACTAGTAGCTCAACTCTCAGTTGTAACAGCCAAAAATGTATCGACATTGCCAAATGTCCCCGGGGGCAGGGGGAGGGCAAAATACCTCTGGGTTGAGAACCCCTGCCCTAACCTCTCTCAAAAGGGAACTTCACCTCCTTGCAATAACAGTAACTGGCAGCCCCTTGAAGATCTCCCCGTATTAATCCGTTTCCGTGGCTCATAACAAAATACTTGGAACTGGGTAATTTATAAAGAAAGTGAAATTTATTGCTTACAGTTTCTGAGGCTGGGAAGTCCAAAGTATATCTGGGGGTGGTGACACTGACCCAGGGTCTCACATTGCAAGATGGTGGAAGCAGAGACAGCAGAGAGAGAGAAAGAGAGACAGATTCTCCCCTTCTTTTAAAGCCCTCAGAACCATGCCTCTGATCGCCATTTTTAATCCATTCACTACTGCACGGTCCTGCAATCCAATCACCTCTTCAAGGCTCCATAAAAGGATTTCCCACCCTCTTATCAGTCACAGTGGGGGCTAAGTTTCTAATACATAAAACTTGGGAGACACAATCAAGCTTCAATGAGTTTGGGGGGGACATAATTCAATCCACTGCACTCCCCATCCTGTATTCCTCTCAGATAGAGGTATTTCATGTGAAATCCCACATATTTGAGGGACAGGAAGTGGACGAGTAACTTCCTTGATCCCCAGGAACTGTCAAACAATTTATTCTCCTTCAAAACTATCAGCTCCTTTGAAAACTCCTGCCACTGGCTACACCACCTACTATGGCTCCTCCCTTCTGCCATCCACCGTGGCATCCACTTCTTGTCATTCCCTACCCCCACCATTCACTGAAGAGTTCACCTCCTGACGCACTGTTCTACTTTCCATCTCCACCTCTATCACCACTCCCAGTGATTCTGACATCCACTCCGAGAGCAAACCAACACTCAGGTAGATCCTTCACCCAAGATCTTGATTCCTTGCCTCCAGCAAGAATTCCCTCAATAGCAACCCATTCCCAAGTCACACACCCTCAAATTGATCATTATCAGAAACTGTACCACTTCCGGAAGATCAATTTCAAAGCTTACACTAAACCCTCCAGTGGCTTCCCATCACCCTCAGCATAAAGTCAAATGCCTCACCACAACTAAAGAGGCCCCTCCTGCTTCTCACTTTACCACTCTCCTCCACTCCGCTCGCGCCTGCTGGCCTTCTCCTCCTTGAACATGTTGAGTCCACTCTCACCTCTCACCTCAGAGCCTTTTGCACTAAAGCACTCTTCCCCTGGATCTCTGAACACTGCACTCAGTCACTGATCTCTGCTTAATAGTTGCTTCCACTAAGAGAACTTCCTGACCACATTTCCTAAAATAGCACGCCCGTCTCTCTTTTTTCCATTATTCACCTTATTCTTCAGAGAGCTTAGCCCTTGAATTTATGTGAATCTGTGGTCAGTCTCCTACCCATGGAATGTAAACTCCATTTCAGCAGACCCTGCTGTTTGTTTACCACCTTTACCCGGGCCCTTGAGGAGTGACTGACAAAGAGTGGATGATCAATTAATTGTTCAATCATCAATGAATCAATATGCATTTGGATATACAAATACTCGGACGGAACATCTAACTCTGACCACCGCCTTCTATTCTTTAAGCTCTTACCCTAGAACCCCTTCTAAAGCTTCATCCACCGCATGGACCTTGAATCAGAGTTCTTTCCACTGTTGCATGATCCATGACCTGCACCCCATCTCCCTTCCTTCCTTGCCAGATCACATTCCATGTTTCGCCATGGAATTAGAATCTTCAAACATTCCCTTGTCCCTCTCTCCCTCCATCACAGTTGTCTGGTAAGACCACTACTTGTTTCAGTCCAGCCATCCACTCTCTGTTTGCCTGCACCTGAGCACCTGAACGCTGTAAAAGAAAGACACATGAGTGCACGGCTCTACACATACCTCAACTAAGCCCAACACTGTTCTGCATTCTCATCTAGGCTTCGAATCTCCAGTACAATATTCATAGAATCTCCCCCCACCTAACCTGCTCTTTCCAATGGTGAGATGATCTTCTGAAGTAACTTACTGAGAAAATGGAAGAATCTGAGACAAACTGCTAATACTGAAAAACACCTGCACTTGTCTTCTCTGCCTTCTTCCTTGCCGTGGAAACAGACCCTGCTACAAACAAGAGCAAGTTCTTTCCCTTGTGTTCTGCACTGAATTCCTTGTTGCATGCTTGGGACCTCACTTCTTTAGCTATCCCTTTTCTCTGCTGAAACGTGAACACCTCCCTCTGTACTGCACATTCCCAGTATCACACAAACATGCTTTAAAAAACAAACCCTCCCTGAGTCCACATCACTCCCCACTCCCAGCTACTGTCCCATTTCTTGGCTTCCCTTCATACCAAAACTACCAACAGGAATTACTACTCTTGCTACCTCTACCTCCCCTCACTCCTGGCTCAGCCCACTGTTATCTGACTTCCATCCCCACAGTACAACAGAAACTGGTAGCCAACAAGGCGCCAGTGACATTTCCATCTTCGTCTTACTCAGATTCTTAATTGTTCAGAAAATTTTCACTGTTGACTCCCTCCTACTCCTTAAAGCACACTCCTGTCATCTTCATGATACCCCCTTTTCCAATTTTCTCTAATTTGCTGGCCATTTTCACTCAAGTCCCCTTTACTGGCTTTTCTACCCAACATGTCAATGTATGAGTGCTTCCTGGCTCATACTATGGCTTATTCTTTCAAGTCTTTCTCTATTCTCTCCCATAATCTCACTCAGTCTACAAATAACCATCTCCTTGAAACTGTGCAGGTCTTTGTGACTGCAGTGACTGACAGAGTATGGCAGAAGTGAATGCTCAGAGCAGCTACATGATAAGCCTGAAGACTACATCATAATGGCAGGAGGACTAGAGAAGAAGAGAATTCAAAGAACCACCAAACCAGCAGTGAGTCACCAACTTTTTTCCTCCTGTAGTCCTCAACCTGAACTCAAGGCAGCCTCAAACCTGCACTGACAGAGAAAGCTTTATGGAGAAATTTGATAATGTGTGTCAGTGACCTTTAAAAAACTTGTTCCTTTGAGCCAGAAATTCAACTTCAGAAAATCCATTCTAGGTAAATATCCAGAGGTATATTCAAAGAGTGATGCATCACTGGACTATTGTGAAGATTAAATGAGTTAATGAAAGAAAAGTGGTCAGCACAGCTCCTGGTCAACAATAAATGGATTATTAATGGGAAAAAAATTGAAAGAAGCTAAAATGTCTAACAATAAAGAGATAGCTAAAAAAGAAATGATGGCTTTATACACACGATGGCTATCTATACAGCTATTAAATAAAAATCATGCTATTACAGAAAGAATAATAGCCTGATGGATTTAAATATACTGAATATGTTAAAAGGAATAAGAAAAATAAAACACTAGATATCACTGGAAAATACTAGGGTACCAATCAAGAACTAATAGGAAATAATGAAGCATTTATCCTGCCTTTCCAGTATAAAATGTACTTCAGAGTAATAAAACATACCTAGCGAACAAAGAAAGGTCTTCAAAACAGAAAAATTCCAGCCAAAAATTGCAAAAGAAATGAAAGAATTAGAAAAACCACCATTTTGAATCCCTGTTGAAATAATGGGTACACTTAATGAATAGCAAGTGGATGAAAACCCCATTAGAGAAAAGGTCAATTGAAAAATTTACAAAGAAGGGATCAAGCTGTCATCCCCAAACCCATGGCTCATTCAGAGCTTCAATACTGTGCCTCTTAGAAACCCAGACACTGGGAGCCCCCCGATGTGAGAGAGTGTAACGTACACAGAACCACCCACTGAGTGTTCCTGCTGTCCCCCAACCCCTGGGCAAAAAGAGAGAGACTGAGCATGAATCAAATCACATCTTAAATTGCATCTAACTTCCATTCTAGGGTATCAGAGAGTTCTAAAAATGAACTAGTTACTGGATAATATTAAACCAATTCTATTTGCACTCAGTATAAATAGTGGCATTGTAACATATTTTAAAAATCTTTTTTTGAGATGCATACTGAACTATCTGATATTAAAATAACATGATATCTGGACTTTGTTTTAAATTATTTTACAAAAAAGTAGATGGCAGGGCACCCCCTGGGGAGAGGGCGAGAGGTAGATAAAACCACATTGGCATCCATAATATTGATTGTTGATGCTGAGTGATGGGACATCGGGCTTTGCTGTACCTCTATGTGTATGGATGTTCAAATTTTCATAATAAAATATCTTAAATCATGCCATTCAAAAGATTTAATGACATAGAAAAACGTGTCACAAATATATGAAAAAATCAAGATTGCCAAGCTAAACAAGATACGTTCCTGACTTTGCAAAAACAAGAGACATGAATTTGGTTTATTAAAAAGTCAAATCATTGCGGTGGAAACATGAAACGTTTTCATTTTTTCTAGGACCTGTAATCTGGCTGCACTATACTGAATTCCCTTACTGTGCAGGAAATATGATTTGGCCGGGTTGGGGAAATGGACAGAGACATGAACTTCTGAATTCTCTTCCTCCACTCCATGATTTAGGATTTAATCTGGACACACACACCTACTAAATAGGATGCCTTGACTCTAAACAGGAGAAAATGGGCTGGCCTGAAGCCTTCTAAACTCAATCATACTTCTTAACCCGTACAAAGTGGCTGGCTGGGTCAGGAACCAGAGTTCAAGGTTTCCCCAAACTCCTGATCCCCTCACTCTCCTCCTTCATCCAAGCACCTGTTCCCAGACTGAGAAATGTGGATCACACCAACGAATAAAAATAATTAGCCCTAGAATAGGAATTAGTTTAACTTCCCTGAGTGTTCTGCTATTCAAACCTTCATTTTACTCCATATTTTCATTCATTTATTAAATCAGTCATATTTACTGAGCTCTTACTCTTTGTAAAACAACTCTAAGTCAATTTGCCAAAAACCCATCTGGCAAGTTAACAATTCACAAACACTACCAGTGGGCAGCAGCCTTTTTGCAGGGGCGGCTGGTGGAGGTGCTTCCTGCTAGGAGATCAGCCCCCAGGGCCAAGACCACAGAGTCAGCCAGGGAGGCCCTGCAGGAGCACACACTGCCCAGGGTTATTATCAGGGAAACACAGATGGGATCACGTACAAAGGAAGAGCTGGGTTCCACCAATGCCTAAAAAACACTCTCGTAGCAGCTGCAGTGACACTAAAACTTGAGAAAATTCTCATAAGCTGATAAATTCATCTCCATAGCACAGATTGCTATAAACTTTATAAGTATATAAAAACTAGTTTCTGGTGAATTTAAAACTCTATAAAGACAAGGTCAGGCTCTCTCCTTTTCCTCCTCCCCTCCACCCATATAAAAGACCCAGTGGAAGAGGCAGTCTTTGTCCTTCAAACCCAGCCTGTAACCATCACTTTATAAACTAGAAAATGCAGGCCCAGGGATGTTAGGTATCTTGTCCAAAGTCATACTATCTTAACCTAGGAAAGGCCCGTCTCATTTATCAGGCACATTACATATTACATATCTAATGTGCAGCCTGAAGACATCTAGAAGAATACACCCATGGCTAATTCCTTCGTTTTTTTCAGAATAGAGAGCATTGCTTATTTTCTGCCCATTTTTTTCCACTGAAAATACATGGACTCTATCCCTCAACTTCAGGAAGTGTGTCAAGGTGGGGAAGCATGGTGTAGCAGAATGAGCTTAAGCTGGGAAGCCACTCCCTGGGCTCCAATCCCTGATGCTGCCCTTGTCCTGGCTATGGCCTTAGACGAGTTACTCAACTTCTCTTAAACCTGTTTCCTCATCTATAAACTAGAAATACTCATCCTCATTCCTTCCCAGGATTGTTGTGAGAAGTGGATGAAAATATTTTTTGTAACCAGCTTAACACAGTGCCCAGAAAATGTTACCCAATGTTATTATTATCAAGATACACTTCAGAGGCTCTATACTTGTAAATGTGATAAATAAAAATTTAGTTCAACTTCAAGAAAATCATAAGTCGGTTCTAAAAGCATTTCAAAAAGTATGCTAATAAGCAAGGTGATCACAGATTAAAATATTTTATTATTCAGTAGACTTTAACAATGAAGTAATATTTAAGACACTGCTTGCTAGAATTCCTAAACCCAGCTTTAATTATATTTATTAAATTCATGTTAAAAATAATATTC